AACTTTACAAATAACAACAAATATCACATTAAATTAATCCTCACAGCCATATAATCAAACGTAAAAAAAACATCAAATTCTTCTCCAATATACTCAGCACAGTCGACTGTATATCTTCCACTTGATGTGGGGGGCAATAATTATCCTGAGAAGACCTCGCAATTGTAATAACAGTCGGGGGCACTATTAAACTCGCTACAAAACCCTCAAACTTTGCATAAAGCTCTTTTAACTCCTCCTCTGTACTTTCGTGATGCGGTAAAACATGTTGTGGATCATCCCACGTGCACCCTGCATTATACATAATCATCCAATCGATATCATCATCATTGTAATGGTTCAAAACTAGGTTTTGGAGCTCCCGAACTTTATTGTAGTTGCTGGAGGTTGTATCTGAACAATTGTCTAAGTTTCTGTGCTTATCCAAGTATTGAAATAGTTGCTCTAGTTCATTTAGCAAATCAGTACGTGCTCGTAGTATCTTGATCTGTTTAATACTTTGAGGAGACTTTACATCAGGCTTTGTGTATACAAATATCTTTTGCAACTCTTCATACACACCACCACGATTGTACATTAGTTTAAACGGATTATACGTACTAAAGTAATCCAAATCTATATCCCAAAATATACTTAGTGACATCTTTAGTTAAACTTACTCCTGATGTCTCGCCTAAAGCCACAACATCCAACTCAATCGCTCTCACCTCACCTTGCAAATTGTGACAATACACACCTTCAGAAAATAATAATCGAGTGTACTATTAACACTAACGTGCCCCGATTCATTGTCACCAATTTCAAACTTATATTTACCCTCGGCTATCTGGTCTGACCAGGGTGGTTTGACCCACACGATACGATTAATATAACCGTTATAAGCTGCTGGTAAAATCCAGCTTTCGATACTGACAGCATCAAATATTTTGTACCTGTCTCGGGCTACATGTCCTGGCATGGAACGAGGAATCGAGAGATCTGGATGGGAATCGAAGTGTATCATGTAGTTGTTGGTGAATGGTAAATGTTTTGAGCCTATGTTTCTGTAAATGTGAGCTAAGGCTTCGTCGTGGTCCTCCACTATGTAGATGGGGATTGCTTTGTGGGTTTTCAATTTGGTGGTCATTGTAGTAATTGAAATACACAAGAATTTGATTCACATAGAACCAGAAGACCGTAAAACACCTTTAGTAGCTGTTTTTACACTTTAAAAACTGTTTTTTATGGGAATAAAGGATAAATAACAAGCGGGATTTTGACAGCACAACTTTTTGCTGTTTAAAAGTTTCAACTGTCAAGATTGCAAATGGCGGTTATTTTGAACCAAAATTATACTTAGAAAATTTTACCAAAAGAATATGAAATAAATGCAAATTTTAATAAAATTAGTCTCTATTGTATAATATACTTTATGAATAGAGTAATAATTTATTTATAGTATTGCTTAATTAGCTATTAAAATATTGTAAAACACTTACCATTTCCTTCTGTGTGTTCTTCTAGGATTGATTTTGTGGTTTTTAATTCAAAATTATCCAAAGACACCGCAATTTTGTTGTTTATATTACACAAAAACATCTTTATGAGCACTTTGAGCGTTTTTCACACTTTAACAACTGTTTTTTATGTAAATAAAGAATAAATAACAAAATGAACTGTGACAGCTCGCACTCCATTGTTATAATTGTTTATCTGCCATGTTTGCAAATGGCGGTTGTTTTAAACAATAAAAAATATTCATAAAATTTACAAAAACACGGATATTTAAAAACAATTTAAAGTAATGGTGAAATAAGTTTCAAAATAGAAGTTAAATTTGATTTACGTTATTATTTATATAACGTTTTGTAAGTTTTTTAATAACTTAACACTGGTCGAATTTTGGCGGGCTTTTTGAACATAAGGTGTGCATAAATAAATTTTTTGATATTCTACATATAAATATGTTTGCTAAAGTTATTTATAGGCTTTTTATAGTTATTTATTGTGCAATAAATAGCAAACAATGTAAATACTGGCTAAATGGTTAATTATTTTATATGTTATATATAATTTTGCAAATGGCGGTTGTTTTAAACAAGAAAAAATATTCATAAAATTTACAAAAAACACAAATATTTACACAATTTAAAGTAATGATGAAATATGTGATAAATATAATGGGAGTTAAATTTGATTTACGTTAATATTTATATTAAGTTTTATAATTTTTTTATAACTTAACACTAGTCGAATATTGGCGGGTTTTTTGAACATGGTTTGCAAAAGTATATTTTTTTAATGTTATATATTTAAATAAGTTTGCTGTAGTTATTTATAGGTTTTTTATAGCTATTTATTGTGCAAAAAATTGCAAATAATGTAAATACTAGCTAAATGGTTGATTATTATATCTTTATGGTTTAATATGTCTTATATAATTTATTTGAAAAATAAAAAATGGCGCAAATAGCTGTTATTTTAAACAAGAAAAATAATAATAAAGTGTACAAAAAACACAAATATTTAAACAATTTAAAGTAGTGGTGAAATATATGATGAATATAATGAGATTTAAATTTGATTAACGTTACAATTTATAATACGTTTTATAATATTTTTATAACTTAACACTAGTCGAATTTTGGCGGGCTTTTTGAACATGGTTTGCAAAAATATATTTTTTCATATTTAATATATAAATATGATTGCTATAGTTGTTTATAGTCTTTTTTATAGTTATTTATTGTGCAAGAAATAGCAAACAATGTAAATACTGGCTAAATCATTAATTATTTTATATGTTTTATATTAATTTATTTGCAAATAAAAAAATGGCGCCATGTTGATTAGTTGCACAAATAAAACAACTTGCCTTAAAGCAAACCTAGTTTTGTCCATTATTTTCTGTGTTTAGTATTAAAATAAACTAAATAATATTATTTTTATCACAAATTTGAAAAACGCGCCTAAAATATTTTCAAACATTATTATTATCATTCTATCAGGCGCCTTCTGTCTGTTTCTTGTTTACAATCTGTCACAGTTCTAAACTGTTTCAA